GGTCTTGCCAAGTTGCCCAGGCGAGTCTCGAACCTGCAGGCTCAGGCAATTCACTCACCTTGGCCTCCCAAAGCATGGGATTACAGGCTGAGCCACCGAGCCCGGCCGTAAGACCGTAAGCTCTATTTTTTTTTGAGGCGGGTCGCACTCTGTTGTGGAAGCAGGAGTGCAGTGGTAGGATCACAGTTCACTGCAGCATCAATCTCCTGGGCTCAGGCAATCCTTCTGTCTCAGCCTCCCAAGCAGCTGGAACTACAGGCACATGCCATCAAAACTTGGCTACTTTTCTTATTTTTTGTAAAGACGGGGGTCTCTCTATGTTGCCCAGGCTGGTCTCAAACTCCTGGGCTCAAGCAACCGTGCCTGGTCAACCTCTTAAGCTCTTTAACCCTTTGCACTTGGATGTCCCTTCTGATGGGACATCGTAAATCTAGCAAAACATTTTGATGTCCCCTTTCAAGAGACATAAAGAGATTGTTGGTGAATATACAGGACAAATTTATGTAAGCACAGATTTTTCAAAAATGTATGTTTTCTTGAAGTTTTCCATCAAATTGCATGAGAAAGTAAATACAGAAATGGAATATGTACAGAGATATATGTAAAAAAAAATCAGCTGATGTGAAGTAGAAAGAATGTGTGAAGTGCTTTCACAGTGGTGCTGACATTTCTTTGTAAAAGAAGGTAGAGATAGAGAGCATTCTATAAGAAAGGCAGTTGTGGTTACACCCTTTATATCATATGGCATAACTTGAAAAGATAGACAAGCAAGTTACTGTGGCCTTAACAGAAAGAAACTTTTGAAGTTGAAGGCAGATTGTATTGAACAGCACAGATCGAATATATCTATTTGCAGAAAGTCGGAAAAGTAAAATTGAAGAATATTCTACTTTTTTTTTTGAGTAAGATTCTTACTCTGTCACCCAGGCTGGAAGGCAGTGGCACAGTCACAGCCACCACAGCCTTGACCTGCTGGGTTCAGGCGACGCTTCCGCCTTAGCCTTCCAAGTAGCTGGAACCACAGGCGTGTGCCACCATGCTCAGCTAATTTTTCTTGATTTATTGTAGAGATGAGGTCTCGCCAAGTTGCCCAGGCTGGTATCGGACTCATGGGCTCAGACAAACCTCTCACCTCAACCTCCTGAAGTGCTAGGATTATAGGTGTGAGCCACCATGCCCGGCCTGGAGAAGTAATATTCCTTTGGTAAATTTAATTTTGTGATTTTGTAATTTACAATCAGAAATTTTTTATCCATTTATTTAGTTTGCAGAACAATGGCAAAATGAAAAGACAAAAGTGAAAGTCATAAGCAGCAGTGAAGTTGAGTTAGATTTAGACTCATCTTTGTGGTTTTCAGGAATTATGAGTGTATCCTTCCATGTTGTCTTTGAACAACAGATTGAACAATAAATCACATAGTATTAATGTGGGAGGAAGAAAGTGAGACTGCATTCTCTGTGCAAATAGAAAAACACCAGGTGGAAGACATCAAACAAATTACTATTGCACATGTACCAAAGAACCTGCAATGCACGGCAGTGACTATTTCACACATTACCATATGTTAGAAAAATATGAGATATTAAAAAACTGGTTCCAATGCTATACTATTTAATATGAAGTGATTCATTTTTCATTATTTCATAAAAAGTGCAGTTGAATTGCTGGTAGACGATTCGCAAGATGTCTCGAAGTGCAAGGAGTTAAAATAGCAGATGTTATTTAATTTTAAATTTTTAAAAATTTATTGTAAGCCGGGCTAGGTGGCTAAGCCTGTAATCCCGTGCCTTGGGAGGCTGAGGTGAGTGGACTGCCTGAGCCCGCGGGTTCGAGACCCACCTGGGCAACTTGGCAAGACCTCATCT